TTTAAAATTTGAGGTCTAACTGTTTAAAAAGAAACAAAAAGTACTTGGTTTTAAAAATTGGTCGTTAATTTTTTTTTAATCATACAGTTCATAAAAGTTAAATTTAGTTTAATTCATTCATCAATTGAACAAGGTTTTTTCTAACTTTTCACCACGTTACGACATTTGGCGCTCTCTGTTGATGACACGTGTTATCCTTTATTTTTAATTAATTATTTTCATTTTTTTCTAACTAAAAAATTATGTCAATCTTATTTCCAAATAATCATATAATTAGGTAACAATTAAAATAAAATTATTATGAGTAAAATTATTAATTGGGATCCAAAATTCATCTGTGTAAAGCAAAAGGTATAACTAAAGTCTTTTTTTTCCTATAAATATAACTTGACATCTACTTCTGAATCCAATTTTTAATACCTAAAGTTCTTTTGCCAAAAAGAAGAAGATTATTTATAATAAAATTTCATATTGCATATATGACCCGTACATCACATAATTAAAACATCTATTTTACAAAAAAATTTACATTTATTTAAATCCTATTACATTTTTATTACATTTTATAAATTAATGAACTTCACTAAAATCTTAATATTCAATAAGGTATGAGTTATACAATAATATCATATCCACCCTACACTCTACACTAATATCATATTTAATCATTTGTTCTAAATAATAGTCTTTCTTTTCATAACAATATAAATATTTAACCGAAGTTAGATTTTCTTAGAGAGACCGAACATAAATTCGATTACTTAAGAGCATTTCATGATTGTTTTCATGTACATATAATAGACAGATATATTCGTTCATCTTCTTTGTTAATGTTGATGTAAACATGTGATGCCTTTTTAATATAAATTCATTTCTTTAGCTTTTATAGTTATGTAAATATTTATGTTTGTTCTTAAATGGTTTCAATATTAGTTTTATTCTGAACAAATTCTACATAAAATAACTCTTAATAAATAAAAAAGGATCTCATCTACGTATATGTGAGCTTCTTTTCTAATCAATTAGAATGAAAAATATCAAAGTTCTTTTTTCAAATAATCTTCATCTTTATCTTTTTAGTGTTTACATAATTATAGATTAAAAGCTCTTATATCTCAGGTGAAATATTTTCTAAATTGAAAAAAAATTTCTAAGTAAGGTCTAAAAAATCATATATCTTAGGTGAAATATTTTAAATTGATATTTTGCAAAGTTTAATATTAACCAATACTCATAAATTATGTGAGTTTTGTTTACTTTTAATATTAACAATGTACACACAAAAAATTAACATCAATTTACAATTGCCTACTATATTATGTATGTGCTAATTTGTAGTACTTTGTTTTGATCTCATTCGGTTTCATATTTTTCAAATATATATTTTATTTACTTTTACGGTTTATAATGTACACAAATATGTTTTATATTAACAATTACTTATAAACTATACATATCTTAATGTAGTTTTCAATTTCTATTTCAAATTAATATTTCATATATAACTCACGCATCGCGTGGGCAACTTTCTAGTATATATATATAACACAAACTTACATTAGTTTGTGTTCATGATATTAGCTAGTTTTCACTATGTCTAATCTTATATGTTTGCCTCTTTTTTTGTTTGATTACACAGTGTGATGGGAGGGATATTAGTATCAATAGGATTTTACATGGTGTTGTGGGGTAAAGCCAAAGAAGACAATATTTTAGGAACCATAGAATCGTCTCCATCACATAGAGCTCCTCTATTGGTTAATTAAAAAAGCAAATTATTTAATATTTACTTTGATTTAATTTAATAAGTGATGTTATATGAACAATGTATTACTGTACCACCAAAAATAAAGTCCAAAACTCATAAGTTTCTTTCCAAATGTTTTAAGAAGAGTTTAACGGGAGAAAGCATCGAAAAAACCAAAACCGTTTACGTATTGTTTGTTATAGAATTTTCTTCTTCTTTTTCTTAATTATGTTCGCATTACAAATACATACATGTAACCAAGGGAGATAATATATTATCAAGCTACTTGTCTTCCATGAACTGAGTTATTTCCATGAAGTAACATATAATTTGATAGTAAACTTACGTAGTTATATTGATTAAATAATCTATGTATTCTGAAAATATTATTCTCATTATAATAAAGATGATTTTCTCTTGTTATAGTATACAAGAATATAGACTGCAATACAAATAACATTCGTTATATAAAAAATAGCAAAATCTCGATAAGAATAGACTTAAGAAAATTGTGTCGGCCTTTTATCAATTGATGATAGTTTAAATGCGATAACTGAGTTTGCATGACTTCTTCCGTAGATTTAGTTTGTGGTAGATGTGTATGGGTCTTAAGCCACACATACATCATTCCATTATGGTTGTTTTCTATAAAGACTTTGACTTGTCTTACCATAAAATTTCAAAGTAAACGATTGTGGTCGTACGTAGTTGATGTGAACTCTCTCTCTCTCTCTCTCTCTCTCAAATTGTGGTGGTAGAGACTACTTGTTAAATGCTTATATAACTGTGGTCTTAAATTGTTTTAGAGTTCATTACATTTTTCCTTAATATCTTATTTGCAATGAAATCGAAGCTTTCCTTGTGGAAATATTTGATATGTGTGATATTACTGTTACAACAGCTACATGAATGCAAAAGTTGCATTGAGAAAGAAAGAAAAGCTTTGTTGGAACTCAAGAAATACATAGTCTCAAATGATGTAGGTGACTATGTTCCCGCCGACTATTATCTCCCTACTTGGTCTAATGACACGAAGAGCACTGATTGTTGCCGGTGGAAGGGCATCGAGTGCAATCATACAAGCGGGCGGGTTATCGGGATTTCCATTAGTCATACATACTTAGGAAACCGTCTCCTAAATCTTTCTATGCTGCATCCCTTTGAAGAGGTTCGAAGTCTTAACTTATCTGGGGGCAATAACATTAACTCATTCAATGGCTTCTTTGATGATGTTGAAGGTATTAATTCCAGGCTTTTCCACAGTGTTGAAACATTAGAATATTTGTTAAAATGAGATATTTGTTTGCAGGTTATAAAAGCTTTAAGAAATTAAAATACCTTGAGATTCTGGATCTCTCTTCCAATGCATTCAACAACAGCATCTTTCCTTTTCTTGGTATGCTTCGTTGGTTGTTTCTGCATTTATTTATGTCTTAATCGCAGTTCTTAGTTAGTATTCTCATATACTCATGGACTCCCTTTCAGAACTAAAAAACTTGGAGCTGTTGGATATAAGTGGAAATTATTTGAACGGTTCAATTCCAGGTAACATATACGTTAGATGTCATTGGTCATTTTATTTTCTGAATATAACTTCTTTTAACATAATTGCTGAATACGTTAGATGACTAGATGTCATTGGTCATATTATAACTAGAGATGTCTTTGGTTGTGTCTCTTTGTCTTGGAGCAGAGCTGACTCACCTAAAAAAGCTGAAAGCTCTGGATCTAAGTTCCAATTATTTTAGCTCAATGCAAATACAAGGCAAGCATGGTTTTAACTTTCTTTTATATGTATGGCATTTAATATGAATATAGCTTATTTATATTTCGAAAGTTTTAACAATTCGTTGGCTTTTACATTATTTCAGAACTAAAGAATTTGACAAGCTTAGAAGTCTTGAGTCTCTCTCAAACTCTTAGTTTTTTGGACGGACCTCGACCTATACCAATAGAAGGTGACCTTTGTTTGCTTCACCTTCACGAGACGAATATAACTAACTACTCTTTATTATTCTCATTATATCTTTTTGTTTTCCAAATTATTTTCTTATTGTAGTTTGTAAAATGAAGAATCTACGTGAGCTTGATATCAGTGGAAACTATTTTGTTGGCAAGATTCCTCCTTGTTTAGGTAGCTTGAACAAGCTACGGGTTCTTGATCTCTCATCCAACCAATTAAGTGGAAATCTACCGTCTAGTTTCAGTAGCCTTGAGTTCCTCGAATATCTATCCTTGCTAGATAACAACTTCACAGGCTTATTCTATCTCAATCCACTCGCCAACCTCACAAAGCTCAAGGTCTTCAAACTTTCATCAACATCTGATATGGTAAAACTAGAGACGGAAAGCACATGGCATCCAAAAGTTCAATTGAGTGTCATTGTACTACGATTTTGCAATTTGGAGAAAATCCCTTCCTTTCTCGTATACCAGAAGAACCTGCGTCTAGTTGATCTATCCAACAACAAATTATCTGGATACATTCCTACCTGGTTGTTGGCGAATAACTCAAAACTTGGAGTCTTACAGTTGCAGAATAATTCTTTCACAATCTTTCAGATGCCTACAATCATTGTACATCATAATTTGCAGGTTTTGGATCTTTCAACAAACCATGTTAGTGGGATGTTCCCTGATATTATTGGTCGTGCACTTCCGAATCTAGTAGAAATGAATGGCTCGTATAATGGATTCCAAGGGAAATTCCCGTCGTCTATGGGTGAGATGAAGAACATTTCATTGTTGGACTTGTCTTATAATAACTTCTCCGGGAAGCTACCTAGAAGCTTTCTCAAGGGTTGTTTTTCACTGAAGTACTTGACGCTCTCTAACAACAAATTTAGCGGCCCTTTTCTTCCAAGAGAAACAAGCTTCACTTCCTTGTGCATGTTGATAATCGATAACAACTTATTCACGGGGAAGATAGGAGTTGGTTTGCTGAGCTCCAACAGTACATTGTCATTCCTTGACATGTCTAACAATTTTCTCACAGGTGGTATTCCAAGCTGGATATCTAAGTTATCTCGTTTGACCTTCTTATTTTTATCAAACAATTTCTTAGAAGGTACAATACCACATTCTTTGGTGGATTTCCCCGTTCTTGGATCTCTTGACTTATCTGGAAACATATTATCTGGGGGCTTACCGCCACATATGGGAGTGAGGTATTTGTTCCTCCACAACAATAACTTCACAGGACCAATTCCACACACATTGGTTGAAGGTGTCGTCAAGATACTTTCTTTACAGAACAATAAACTCTCTGGGAGTATCCCTGAAGTTATTGTCAATAATACCAATGACATAAGTTTTCTTTTGTTGAGGGGGAACAATCTAACAGGACATATTCCGAGGCAGCTATGTGATTTAAGCGAAATCAGTGTTTTAGATCTTTCAAATAACAAGTTGAATGGTTCCATACCTTCATGCCTCTTTAATTTAACGTTTGGAGATGAGCCGTTTACCAATCTCCATGAGATCTATGGGGTAGATTTTTCTGTTGAGCGCTTTCAGTTAGAATTCTACAAATCAACGTTCGTGATAGAGAAGCTTGAGGTAAATCCTATTTCAGAGATATCTGAAAAAATTGGAATCACTTTTACGATGAAGCAAAGGTATGAATCTTATAGTTCTGGAGGAGGTTTTGCCAGAACGGGAATACTTGATTATATTTATGGGATGGATCTGTCGAACAACAAATTAAGTGGTGTCATCCCAACAGAGCTTGGAGATCTCCAAGAAATAAAAGTCTTGAATCTATCTCACAATTTATTGTCGAGTTCGATACCGTCCACCTTCTCCAAACTGAAGAATATTGAGAGCCTTGATCTATCTTACAACATGTTACATGGAAGCATTCCTTACCAGCTAACCAGCCTTACTTCTCTTAGTGTGTTTGACGTGTCTCACAACAGTTTATCAGGAATCATTCCCCGAGGAAGACAATTTGACACCTTCAGTGAGAACAGTTACTTACGCAATCCTCTTCTTTGTGGACCACCGACCAATATAATCTGTGAGCCTAAACGAAACTCAAAGGAAGCTGTGAGCCTAGAAGAAGAAAATGATGCTGCTATTGACATGTTGGTCTTTTATTATAGCAGTGCTTCAGTTTATGTGGTCGCATTGATATGCATTGTATTGCTTATGTGTTTTGATTGTTCTTGGCGTCGAGTATGGCTTCGCATTGTTGATGCTTTTATCGCTTCAGCGAAAAGTTTGTTGTCTTAAAATCTTTTCAGCTCACAAGGAAAAAAGCTTGGATCCATCATGTTATTAAAAATAAATGATTATTATTATTATCATCACGATCTATCCATTATGTTTTTTTTTTGTTTGTCTATGAGTGATTCTAGTTCTACATTTCTCATTATATAATTAAGTCTTGCAATAAAATTTAATTTAATGTGTTTGGCTAATTTAATGGGTAAACTTAATTAGGGTTTTTCTTATGTATTGGATCCATTATAAGATGGTCCCTATATATCTATAGACACCAGAGGGTAAAGATAAATTTAATTTTATCTTCTCTTCTAATATCTTAGATTTGTTAAATAAAATTACAAAACTTAGTTATATAAATTGTTTATCTTTTCTAATCTAAATCTATATCTATGTCACACGTTATAACTAAGTTTTAATATATATATATATATATATATATATATATATATATATTTCAAACACTCGCTACTTTCTAGTCAATACTAGTCATTTGTTTTTAAAACACTTTTTTCAAAACACTTATGGGGGTGTATTGAACTGCATATTTTAGGAGATTTTAAAGTACTCTTAAAATTCTCTGTTATTCAATTGGTCATTTTAAAAACTCTTATGAAATCCTATGTTATTGAATATGAAATTTATAGAAATCATTTAAAGTCATTCACAATCTCTTGTTATTCAATTAATAATTTATAAATTTCATTTCAAATATACTGTTATTCAAAATATCACAAGTTTTCTTTTAAAAACTACTGATTGTGATTTTAGAAGACTTTTCTAATATTTTTAGTTAAAAGATATGACTGATAAATCACACTTTTATAGGTGAAACTTTGAAAGATTTTAAAAAGGAGGTATGAAACCAATTAAAAAAAAAAACAAATGATCATTTGCTAATACGATACGCCTAAACCAAAAACATCGAAATCATTGGGGATGGTGTGTCTCGCACGTCATCGGTTGGAAGCTAGCTTCGCACGTCATACGCCTAAGCCAAAAACACGAAGCCTAATGAGAGTCAACGAACACATGGGGTATAAAAAGTCCTTTGTTTACACACACAACCTAATATATATAAATATCGTGCATATCTATATGAGAATGTATATAGAGATGTGGCCTATGTGTTATTGATGATGGTGCGATTATATAATCATTATCATTTTGGCGCTTTTGAACAAAGGTATCTATCTATCTATCATTAACCTGTTTCACTCATATCATCATCTCTCTCACTCCTTCGTAAGAATCCTCTCTTTCCTCTCTTTTTCATCTTAATAATCTCAGGGACCATTCTCAGCTTCAATTGTTATGTGAATGTGACCGTGTCCTGAGCGTATGCTATACTCTGATTGCTTCAACAAGGTTTCTTCACTATCAAGTAAGGTACGTAACTTGATCACTCTATAATGATCTTGAAACTGAGTTTTTTTTGCTTTTTCTTATTGCTCTGTACTGAAACAAATCCAATTTATTCTAGATTCTAGATGGGTTTATATGAAAACAGAAACCTACTCGTTCAATATATAATCATTGAACCAAAGGTCACACATAGTGTTATACAAAATCAAATGAAAAAAAAAAATATATCTATCAAAATGAAAGAATACCAAAAGATATACTAACAAGATACGACGTACACGATAGTGTCTCCTTCTTCATTGTTAAGAGGACTTGGCTCAACCTCGTTGTTAAGTATCTGAAGAACACGTCTCATCGATGGTCTCTCATTACTATTTGGGTGAGCACATTTAAGACCCACAATCAACAGTTTCTTCATCATTTCTTCATCAAACTCACCTTTCAACCTCTCATCTACAGCTTCAACAACTCTTCCTTCACTGTGTAATCTCCATACCCAATCCACTAGATTCACTGTCTTTTGACTCTCTGGTTCTTTATCTATTGGCCTTCTTCCACAAGCTACCTCTAGAATCACCACTCCGTAGCTAAAAGTATCTGTTTTCTCAGTTACAGCGCCGTACTGGAGATACTCTGGTGCCAGATAACCCATTGTGCCAGCGGTCAAAGTTGAGACAGGGCTCTTATTATGCTCCGTGAGTCTGGCCAGACCGAAATCTCCAAGCCTTGCGTTGAAGTTTATGTCAAGCATCTGCACCACCCTTTCCATATAAGACGCAAGTAGAGTTAGTACTTGCCTGTGTTGTTTTACATAATTATCTTCGTAGAGAATGTCGTTCAGACTTGTTTCTTCCGGACGAAGATGGGAATAATGAGGAAGAAACTGATGTTGATGAAAGATATGATGATGAGAATAATGAGGAAGAACAGCTTCATGGTACTCAAGACCAACAAAGAGTGCTTGCTAATAACTGGAGAGCAACTATAGCGGCAACCATGTGGACATATGCCATGAATATGGGGTCATGATTCATTACTATTACCGTGATTTATATTATATTGTTTATCTTTTTCTGTTGGGATTTTTTATATTTATATATCCAATACTTCTACTATAAGAAATGCTTTGTTTTCTTTGGCTACAATGCCTATTTTTCTCTTAAAATTACCAAAGTGTGAAAGAATCGTAGGTAAATGTGATTCTTTAATAATGTTGTCTTTGCCAGCAACTTGATCCAGTTTAATGATGTCTTTACCACATTCTTCAATGATGTTCTTCTACTATAATCGGACTGTACTCCTGCTCACTGATTTCCTAGGTGATCGAATCACACTATTCCTAGCTTTTTTTTTTTTTTTTAAAGTTATCAACGTTAAAAATTATCCATAAATATCCTAAAGTCACTTAAAATTAATAATCAAATCTCACCAAATCACAAGTTATTTTCTTTTTAAAATCTTAACAAATAACCCAAAATTCTACAATCTACACTCAAATCTCTCAAAATTCTAAAATATTAAAATCTCACCAAATCTCCTAAAATATGCAGTTCAATACACCCCCCTTATTCTTATTAGTCATCTATATATATAAAGTTAACTTTTTCTCTCTTCTCCTTAAGCCACATCATCATCCTAATCATCATCCATCTTATTTTATTATTTAATTTTAAAATTTATTATATCATTTTATCATATAATTTTAAGATTTAGACCTATGTAAATAAGTTTTCCAAAAAGGAATATGAAAAGTCTTTTCTTATATTATACATTATAAAACTAAAAAAGATAATTGATTAAAAAGTTAAAAAAAAACTTACTAATTATCGATTATTATAACAAATATATAAATAATAGATTATAGTTTTTAAGTGTTTAAAATATCAATTAAAAATAATATGACAAAAAATTCGATTATATTTACACAATTTAAACCTTTATAATGAGATTTAACGGTAATAGAACCAAAAGTAAGAAATTTTGAGTATATAAATCTATCTAATTTATGTCTCACAAAATTTTCCAACATAAATGAGATAGGTAGGAACGAAACATGAATTATCATTTAAAAAAACGTATAAAAAGGTAAAAAAAAACCAAAAAATTATTTAAAGGTTTCCAATATGAATTTAACTAATATTTTCCAATACAACCCATATGTTAAACTATTAAACAAAATAAAAAGTTAACTATATTTAATAAAAATTAAAAATTAAAATAAATAAACAATATTAAATGAAATAAACCAAATATAAAGTAAATTATACTAATATGTTAAATTTAAAAATTGTTCCATATGAAAAAACGAAAATTATATAAAACATAAAATCAGAAACAAATATATATTAGTATAAAAATGATCATAACGAGATATAAATTACATCAAATCCAAAAAAAAATGTAAAACAAAAAAAAACTTATGACAATATATAAAGAGATAATGTAAACAATAAAAAATACAACAATCCACCCGAAACTCACAAATCATTTTCAAATTTCGGGCCAACATATTTAAAAGTCCCACAATATTAATATCTATATCTATATCTGGTAAAAACCCTAATAGCACATGTTTATGAGTTTCTCAATGATTCTCCACCGCTCTTCCGTTTACACTCACACTTCGCCTTATACTATACACACTTAATTTCTCAACAACTAATGAAGCTCACACTTAATAGGTTTTCTATACAAACATAATCTAAGTTTTAAAAAAAAGTATGGTATAGTGAAAATTTAAGTAGAAAATAAAATACGAACCAATTACTCATAAACAATAGAATAAACTCCCGCGCGTAGCGCGCGGGCAACCGACTAGTTTTTAATATAACATCATTTCAATTGTAGACCTTTTATTCAACCAAAAAAAAAAAGAAACAAAAACTTTCTAGTCAACTATTTTAATCAGTTTAATTAAATATAAAATTGACTAATTGTTTTTTCTATGAGTTTTGATTTTGTGTTGGTACTTCAAAAAACTTAATAGGAAAAGTTAGTATAAAGTGTACAAAAGTACTGTTGTTGTATTATTGAATGGAATGATACAACTTATATATAAGCACAGAACATAATCAAATGATATAATTAAAGGGATTAGATAGAACAATATAATTAATATTAGAGGAATATATGGATATGAGTAATCATAGGTGGTATGATGATACGCCTCCTCAATCTCAAGACGGTGATGAAGTGTATGTAGACAGCAGAAGCAATGTCTTGAGATTGACATCGTTGATGAATATATGGGATTGAAGAAGCATAGAAAAAAAAATCCATGTGTTTGCACGGATTTACTGTAAAACGGAGCACATGTTGTGTGGAGGTTGGAACGATATTAATCGTATGGAAGCATATAGATAAAGATAAACTGAAAGAAGCATTTAGCTTAGAAAAAGAAAATTGTGAATAAGTTTTTTTTTTAAGAAAAATTAAAAACCGCAATTTTGGCTTAGATTCAAAGGCTTATGATAAGCATGAATGATGGAAGCACTTTTGGCGTTAAAAACAAATTAAAAAGAAGAAGCATTTGGCTTAGATTTAGAGGTCTAAATTGATAGATTTGAATAAAAAGAAGCTCGAGAGCTTAGATCTAGAGGTTTATGTGAAATAAGATAGTGGAAGCACTTGGCTTAAAAGAAATTAAAAAAGAACGATTATTATTCAAAAAAAAAAAAC